TCCGATTCGCCGTACTACATCCTCGATGCCCCTGGGTCTTTGCTTAGTATTAGCATGTCATCAACGTATAATCCGACTAGTAGCCTCTTATCCTCCGTTGTGAAGATGCTTGGGTCACTAAACAGTGGTTTTAACCCGAGCTCGCTAAGTCCTTTGCAGGCCTCGATGTACCACTCTCGCCCTTTTAGTCCGTAAAGTGATTTTCGTAGTCGTAGTACTGATCCGTCTGGACAGTTCAAGCCCTGGGGTGGTTTCATATACACTTCGGCGTGTAAGTCTGATCGAGGATATGCGCTAACGACATCGATTTGCCTAATCTCCAGGTCCTCGTAGGCGCCAATCGCTAGCAATAACCGTAGTGACTCTGCCCGGATTGTCGGTGAGAAGGTCTCTAGGTAATCATCACCAGAGACTTGATTAAAACCCTGGGCTACAGTCGTGCCTTGAAACGAACGATGAGTCCTGTCGGCGTGTATTTGACGTTAAATACCCAGCGGCAGCCTAGGGCTCTCCTTCTAGGTGGGAGTTTGAGAGTTCCCACGTTCCAAGGGACTGAAGCTGCGTCAGCTCTTCTTGTGCGGCGAGTGTCCAGTCCGCTCCATTTACTTTATCATTAATGGCTTCTTGATAACTGTTTGGTATTGGTATCCTGTCGAGTGTTGTGTACAGTGCCTGTTCGTACCGGGTCGTTGGACGCCTCGCCCTGCCGCTTCGTCGAGTGGTGGGTTCACTAACAGTGTCTTCGTCATTGTAGGCTGCCCTGGCTTCGGCGAGTAGTTGGTCCATCGCATCGTCGTTAAGTCCTGCTTCCAGTTCGATGGCTGATTCCTGGTCGTCAGTGACGGCCTCACTCCTCTCAGTGCCCTCTAGCGCTGGTGCGCCAGCAATCAGTCTAGCCGTTGGTCGTCCAGTACTGTTGTCACTGGTGACTCCACCACTGGCCTGTTCTAATGATAATTGTGGTGGTGATCATGTCATAATTACCTGATTAGGACTAGTGTGTGGGGTGACTGTGGGGGCGGCTGCAGGGGCGGTTGCGCTAGCCAAAGGTACGTCACTACCACGTGGTAATCCCCCCCTATCACCACCACTAAATCCATCGCAAGCATCGTATAGCTCCCCTATTAGGACCGTATCTTGGGTGGCGACAGGTACAGTACTGCCTGTAGTATTACCATCGTCTCTCCTAGGCTGGCTTGCCTCATTGGGTCGAATCTGTTGTAATATACAGGGGCTACAGTAAGCGACCACACGTAGAACCACGAAAAAACTCTGCCCTTGCAGCTTGGAGCCTCTTAGTTAGTCAGAATTGAATACATCGAATTTACTCAACAGTTATGAGCCCGGAGCAACTCCAAGTCGCTAAATTGATCAATATATACAATCACAGAGCCTAGGTACACCCTAGACACCATCATAAATGGCAACAGTAAATAGGGTAGGGGTGGTCCTTACATCTCCCAAAGACTGGGATGAATGGATCGAGACGATAAAAACAACATCAATGAAAGCTGGAGTATGGAGGTATATTGACCCGAACAATATTAATCCGCCTATTCTGGAGCCACCTACTCGTCCTGCCCCTAGCTCTGTGTGCGCCGCAGCACAGGCAGGCCAAGGGTTTGCAACATCTTCATCTTCGCAGCAAGCACCTGCAGGTGTGGCAACAAGAGGGCGATCCTCTACACAGCAACCTCAGCAGTCTGTCGAAGACCAACAACAACTTTCCTCACAACTGATGCCAATCACATATGCGAGTTTGACTGAAGATCAAAAAGAAGAACTTCGGAACCTAAAAGACGATTACCAACATGATCGTAAGATGTGGGAGAAACAAGAGGAAGCCGTCCAAGGCATACGCGCAAAAATACAAGAGTCAATCAAACGGGACTTCCTCCCATATACATATGGCTGTGATTCAGCACATGCGATGCTTGTGAATCTGAAAACACGCTTCGCACCTACCGACCGTGGTAGAATTGAAGAATGGAAGAGTGAATGGGGAACATTGCAAAAGATACCAAAGGGGTCAACGTCGATGATTGGCTTCTCCAGTGGGAAACAATTTTTGAAGTTGGTCGCAAGCTACAAGTTGCCGAAGTCATTGGACATACACCTATCTTTGACTTTTTAGGTGCAATCTCTTCCTCGTCACCACCATTTGTCAGTATCTGGGATATGAGACTCATCGACGAGTCAACGACATATTCTCTCACTCAAGTAATCACTGAGTATAGAGCTTACTGTCGGCAAACACAATTCCGACAGAAACCTCGGGGGGAGCATGGAGTCTTCGCAACAATGGATAATAGTGGAGAAAGTAGTGACAAGTCTTTGCAGCAACAGACAGCAATGACAATGAACCTGCAACACTACAAGGCCACATAAATAGAAATACTTCTGCTAGACAATTTCCGTGTGGATCAAAACACAAATGGAGAGATTGTTATTATATTGTTGAATCAAAAAGACACAGTGGATGGAAACCTAAAAAAGAAACTGAGATGAAAGTGCGGAACTACATTGCAGAAAGACCATCTTCCCAGTCTATAATTTCCAACTAGTTGAGCGAGAATGGATCAGGGGACAACAGTCTGCAAGACAGTACAACAAACCCCACGGCATTCACAGCCGTGTTCCCAGCATTTCAAGTGTCATAAAAGCCATCATCAACTTATGAGCTTGCGCAAAGTACAATCCTTGATTCTGGAGCCACGGTGCACGTCTGCAATGACCGTGCAAAATTCCACAAATTCAAAAAGTGTGATAGTGAAACATATCTCCTCGCAGGAGATCAACAGGTGATAATTGAAGGATTTGGTTCTGTGAACATTGATGTTCAAAATAGCAATGGTCAACCAATAACTATCGCTCTTGAGGAAACAGCCCTTGTCTCCACTTTCCATACATCAGTCGCATCACTGCGCCGATTCATCAAGAAAGGCGTGCACTGGAACACGAAGACTGAATGCCTCACATACAGAGGCAAAATATTCTGCAAAACTCCGATGATACACAATCAATGGGTTTTAGAATACAAAAAGCATAAGGTTGTACTAGACATTGAGAAGGTATTTCAAACCTCATTTGAACCAAGATGTGCCTTAAAAGGGACTGCAAAATAGTGGCACAACCGCATGGGTCACTTAAATCAAAATGCAGTGTACAAACTGCAAGAACACACACGAGGGGTAGAGGTGACAGACATGGACTACGACACAAACTGTGAAACATGCAAGCTGTCGAATGCAACCAAAATCATCTCTCGAAGACCAATCCCACGGTCAACAATACCATATGAGAAGGTACACCTCGATCTCATCCAAATGCATGAATCATATGAAGGCTATGTGTATAGCATGCACTTTCTTTGCGACTGCTGTCGCATGAATCATCCATACCTGCTGAAGAACAAGCGCCAGGAAACACTTATGCAAACAATTAAAGATTTTGCAGCCTACGTCAAAAGACCATGGAATTGTGAAATAAAGATCTTTAAGTTGGATGGTGAGGCAGGACTCGGAAAAGAATGGGAAAACTGGGTCGCAGACGAAGGATACGAAGTACAAGTTTCACCACCGCACACAGCAGAGCCAAATGGAGGCATCAAAAGATCTGGTCGCACAATAATTACCCGCTCTTGTGCATTAAAAGAAACAGCAAACCTTCCGATGGAGCTCTGGTCAGAGATGTTCAAAACTGCTGGGTACCTCATCAATCGATCACCCACAGCAGTGCTCAACTACGAAACCCCATATGGACCATTATTAAAGCTCCTTAATATTCAAACAGAGAACGTTAAGCCTCTGTTGTCACATGTTCACATTTACGGGTGTCGAGCATATGTTATCCAAAACCGCCCAAAATTGGACAGACTTGAGAAGAGTGCACGAATTGGTTATTTGGTAGGATACAACTCTACGAACATTTTTCGCATCTGGGTACCGACCCTCAAAAAGGTAATAGTAACAAGAGATGTTACTTTCGATGAAAATAGGATGTTTGATCCACTGTACACTCCTGTCGCAACACCAGCTGAAATCCAGCAAGCGGTAGAAGTCATCGAACACCAATTGATTTTCGCACTCAATTCTCGATATTCGCGATATTGACCTTCTGACCTTTAATTATCTACTTATCCAACTCTATTATGCCTCGAAAACACATGATTACACTCGAACAGCGCCGTGCCCTTCGACATTAGGCACACAAACAGCACCCGAAACCCTCCTAGAAAGCCTGCATCAACTGGTTTCTTCACGAATTCAATCATAGGCTCAGTCAATCGACAATATCAGATATCCTTAGTAACCGCTTTAAACATCTTGACAACTCGACCGACAACAACTAGACAACGAAATCGAACTGGCCAATGGCCTCAACTTGAACAAATTCTCTACGACTTTTAGCGACGAATTGATAGCCGTGGTGGCTTTGTGTCACGATGCTCTCCAAGCCAATCACCTCAGCTTGGCATTTCAATATAATGATATTTTCACTTTTACGATATTTACACGTGTCACCAATTGTATCGACTTAACGGGAGTTGACTGTAATGCGGCCTTGTCGGAGCCTTACTCTTGCTTACTCTTGGCAAAGGTCAGCTGTTGGCGGCGCAGCGCAATCTTAACTGCGGCTAATATTGGGTTGTAGCGCTATAGGGGCCGCCAAGTCTAAACTATTCCCACAATACCAAAAAATGCGAATCCACAATCCACACCCATGTGTGTGTATGGCCCTTTATTTGTCCATCAACGCTAACTGGTGCTGCCACCGCTGTATTAGGTGTCAAAGCATGCGGAAATAGGTCCGGCGATACCGAAATAGGAAGGAATGCAAGGTTCACAATCCTCAGCCAAGACTTCAGCCAATGCTTCAGTAGGCTGAGGGCATAAATGTAAGATTAGTTCTCCCTCTATATAAGAAGCAAGTGCCTCGAGGTGCGATTGATCACCAAAAATATCTTCCAACCCAATCAATCCCGCTCTATAAACTCCAGAATGGCCTTCTCTCTCGCCGGAGCAAACGTTCCCGCCCTTAGTGGCGACTGGTTCAACCCCGGACTCACTCCACGTATGACGGGGAAGGATCAAACGCCAGCGCCATTCCCTGTCCTTAACGTCAGGAACAATTCGGCCACACCAACCGCACGAGGAAATACTGTGAACTTGTTTATCGACTCAGAATCCGAGGAAATTGAATTTGCTGCATCCATCATTACTGCCTGCGTGGACCATACCGTATACGCAATTCAATGCACCAAGGCGCCGGCGAGTATTGGCACTAATTGTGGCCCCGATGGTCAGGAAGTAAGCTTCAATTCCCTTCCCATATTAACGAGTCTTAACAAGTACTAACTTCATCTAGATTTTGACTATAACTGAGGGGTCGGCTGTTTATCAGTGGGATTATACCGCAACAACTAGAACCATGGGCTACGACGTAACTGCCTCGCTCGTCGAATCATGTTCCCTTGCTGGTACAACCGCGGCTACTTGCGTTGGAACCGCTGGAGGGGAGGCCGCTGGTACAAAGACGTCTAAAACCGCAGTTGTAACGATAGCCAGCCCTACTTACTACCGCTTCGATGTCGAGATAACAGGGGGCGCCGACAAGACCAAGAACCCATCACCTACCTGCGGTGCTAAGGGCGCAGCTACGAGTCTCAACGCCAAGACGATGGCGATTTGGGCGTTGACTGGTACCTTTGGCGTGGCTAGCCTTCTCTCGATGCTATAGTCAAGTTGGAGGACTGTAATCACTTTATTTTGGAAGTTATATACAAATAGACGATATCTCATACTAATACTAGGCATTTTTGGAGTTGGAAAGGACGACGACGTACACTATACGTCAGTAGAGTTAAGATAATAAATACTCTTGTTTATAAGAAACGTGACTTGCAATGATCCAGTAAACGGTGGTTGTCGAAACTATGTGATTCGGTAGGAGTTTAAAATGAAGGAAACAATATCTGTGGTTGAGGCCATTCCTACAACCAACCTTGTCGACCATCACGTCGCAACCAGAGTCTCACTTCTGGAAAACAAACCACAGGCCCCTAAGCACTTGTACGGGCGAATAGTTTGTGGGGTTCTAAAATGGCTGTTCGCCACCAACGAAGGATACTCCGTGCTACAAGAATAAAGGAAAATCCAATGCTTTTCATCAATTAATAGATTATCTAGGATATGGCTTCGATTACATATTCAAGTACCAAGTGGTGACGGCAGAACAAAAGGGGGGGGTTACATGTTGGGCGGAAACCGAAAATAGGCCATGAGCCGGAAATCACGAACATACAGGCATCAATGGCAGTTATCGTTCGGCCTCCCAAAATATATATACGCCATCAATACATCAAGTCATCTCTAGGATCACAGGCATCATATGGTTCTTTCCACTGATTATGGAGCATCCTCTTCCCCCCATTGTCTTCTAGCGTCGCCGCGTCCCAGAAGACGTACCCCCAGCGACGAATTTCGTCTCGAATATAATACCCGTACAGATTGCTATACTTGTCATACCACATAATTGTCCAGGCAAGCGGTGGCGCGTCTGGTTCGTCGCTTTCTCCGCGAAATGGGAACGCGGCTCGTTCCTCTTGCCAAGCTTTGAGCTGTCACATCATTGCTCAATGGGAAGTCGCTCGAAAAGATGCACAACAAACTTCAGAAATGGAAAAACAGACGGGTTCAGGTCAAATCAGAATATTATCAGAATATCGTGCTAAACATGGCTTAATACCGCTCAACACTGCCTCCAAAATGTGTTTTCCATACTCTTCCATGCTTTCATTCTTTCATAGATGCTGTATGCCTTACTTATCTCGAGCCAAACACAAAATGATGAGCTTATCATTGCTTCCTTGCCCGCCAAGTATGCTAACGGCAGTCCCCAAGATATTTAATCTGCCTGCCCCTCCACACTTCTGTCGTTCCACTTCCCTTTGCCCTTCAGTCATCGCACGAGACGAGAAGCAATGAAATTCTGGCCCTCCATTGTGGCCGTGGCAGCCATTCTTGTCTCACCCGCTCTTGGGCAAGAAGATATTAACTGGAGTTACGATGTCGGCTTGAACCACCGTCCGGCAAACATCACGAGGCTGACCTACTGGATGTATGTCTGGACCGAAACGTGAGTACTTTCCAATTGCGTCTCTCACCCTGTGAGCTTGAAACTTGGATCTCGGTCTCATTGTGATGTTCTTCAGGTATTACAATGGTACCGTATCCATACAGATGACCCTCAGCTACTGGTACAACGAAGACGGCCGCGACGACGGGCCGCATTGAATAAAGTTTGAAGACTGTTGAAGTCTCATACAAAGCCGTTCTTGCTGTGACCGAACCTGACAACACGACCTCTTACGGGGATAAGAACCCAATGATGGTTGTTCTCTGTGCTTGGCCTGATGACTTGGACGTGGCGGCTGGAAATGCCAAAGACATTTATAACTTTGGGGCCTCGGACGAACTCGCTATAAATTTTAACTCGATGGAGTAAGTATAGCGGCTCGATTTGTTGTTTAGTCGAAATGAAGCCTCTCCCTCCATCATAACCCAACAGCCATCCATTTTACTGTGGAATAGGTGGCTGACCATATCTTTAACCTTTTAAAGCCCGCCCTATCACGCTTACCCCATCAGCCAATCGACATAGAAATACTAGAACTTGAACGCTACTCACATTTGCAATACATCATATTCCTTCACCAGCAAGCGCAACAACGCTACACCAGCCATGAGAGCTTCAAGTTCGACTATAAGAGTTGCAGCAATCCCTCGAACTCAACGTACTCGGGCATAGTCCTAGAACCTGGCGATGCGAAGTCCAAATTTTGTAAGATGCCTCAGATTTCCCCGACTATCTCGGGCCGATTTGACAACAAATCCGCCTCATTTGCACTCACAGGACTCTACCAAGCTTCCCTTCCCGATGAACCCAGATGGGCCGGACCTATCTCTATCAGCTTCCTTGATAGCGCTTGCTCTGATGAGCTGTTGTCTGGCAAGCAACCCGGTTGGAATCCGACACTTGGGTTCTCAAAATCGGACAGGGGCGCATCGGGTGACCACGGATCCAATGGAGCATCGCAAGTTGGCACGCACATATACGCTAGCCTTGCAATGGTATGGGGAATATCAATGCTAAGCGTGTATATATAATAGCTTCATGCGTGCTGAACAAACTATCGTTAGGGTTGGGGCTAATGACAGAGTTGGCCCTTGAAAGAAGGGTTTATATCCGCCAGGTAACGGGTGCCTTACTATTAGGGGAACCCACTGGTAACGAGCTTATATGGACGTTGTAAGGTATGTGAAAATGGCAGTTATAAACTCTTTATATAATGATAAGATATAACGTGGTTGTACACCGAGTCGATCACTTTTCCCCACCCCACTACTTCAAAATATAATTAAATAACCAGAATATGTATTAAAGCTAAAGCTACTCAGAATCTGATAAACTAGGTACTTCTACATCCTCCTGACAAGTTCTCGCATTATGACCAGCTTTTCCACAAGTGCCACAGTGCCGACTAGACAATTTCCCCTCCCTCCTACCGCTCCCCTCTACACGCAAGTCATGTCACACCTACTCATCTACGTCCCTCCTTAACAGGCATGAGTCTTTTTAGCCCTCTAGCATTTGCTAAGGGCCTCATTTACTACGTAAAGGGTATAGACCTTAGCTGATAATAAAGTCATCTTATATGCTAAGATCTCTAACCCTTTTGCTAACGTAGTAACAGTAGCAAAAATTAGGGTTAGCAAGCTTCCTTAATGACCTATAATATGACTTTTAACTAGAGTAGTCTACGAGAGAGCATCTGTTAGGTTACAAGGCGTTTAAGAGACCTAAGGGTGGACCCACCTCTCCTGCGTCTCGCCTGTGGAAATGGTATTCTTGCCGCAGCAGACGGCATAGAAGACAAGGAGGGTTCTGTCCCGAACATACCCAATCACGATACCAGTGAATTCATGACAGAGGTTTGGAGCCGTGGGCGGGGTTGCAGGAATTGATTGCAATTGTAAAGGCGTAGGGCCCAGGGTGTCACGGGAGTTCAGGGAACCAGGTCAGGGGGCAGGAAGTAAGGGTTATATTGGTGTGAAGCACAATAGGTCTACGCTGATACAGCGACTATTGACTGGAGGCCTCACTCCGAGCCTCCAGCCCCTTATATACAGGAACCCGTAGGCCCTAATTTACCGAGCCCGCCAGGTCCACTGTAAGAGCGTGGCACCTCACGTGCCCTCACGTGAGGGCCGCCTTACAGCAATCCTGCCATGTTGACATACCTTAATGAGATGTTACGTATAATGATAATCATCGTGGCCAACACCCGCCAAGGCCGCACGCGTATTTCTATTTTTATTTGAAAAAAGGAGTAAATACCATTCTAATGGCTCCTTGCATACCGCTCTTCGAAATCCGTGTGTGAAAGGGTTAAGGATCGATTGACTATAGACAAGCCGGAGAGAGAGAAACCTGCAAATCCTTAAATTCTAAACCCCCATATTTATTCTCCGCGTCGCTGTGTATGGCTGTAAACAAACCCATCTCCCATCCATCATCCCACCTACAACTCCCCCTCCCTCCCCTTCCCCTTCCCCCCAGCCACCACCTCCTCCATCCCCTCCTCCCCCATCCCCATCCCCTCCCCCTCCATCCCCTCCCCCTCCAACTCCTCCTCATCATACCTCGGCCACTCAACCGCCCACCCCTCCTCCCCTTTCACCCTAAACGCCACCACCCCCCCCCGGGCACCCCGCACCCCTTCATCCCCTCCTTCCCCTCCTCAGCCCAATTTATCTTCCTCCACCCCGCTGCAGGGTCATACGGGTCATTCGGTACCGCTAACTCTATCTCCTTCGCGGATTCGGGGAGTGGGGTGAGGGTTTCTTCTACCACTACTTCCATGTCGCCATTGTCGGAGGAAGAGGAACCGGGCGAGGTCGACAGCGAGAGGAGGCCATCGGGATAACGTTCTTGTAACGCGGAGAGGAGTTCGGAGACGAGGGCGGAGAGGGGGCGGAGGGGGGTGGTGAGGAGGAGAATGGTGGTGCGGGCGTGTTTGAGGCGGAGGTAGGTTGATGCGGGGTCGGTTGTGATTTTGCGGGGAGGCTGTTGTGGGAGGTGTTAGCTGGATTGGTTTGGTTGGCTGCGGGGTGGGTGAGAAGGGGAGGGGAGAAGTTGGGGGAGGGGAGGTACCATTTTGTTTGGCTGTGGGTGGTTGGATAGGGTGTGTGTGGTTTTGGTTGGGTGTAAGAAGAAGACGAAGAAGACGAGGAAGAAGAAGACGAAGAAGACGAAGAAGAAGAAGACGAAGAAGAAGAAGACGAAGAAGAAGAAGAAGAAGAAGAAGAAGAAGAAGAAGAAGAAGAAGAAGAAGAAGAAGAAGAAGAAGAAGAAGAAGTAGAAGAAGAAGAAGTTGTTCTTGGAGGAGCTCTATCGTACACCGCTTCCCGTATCAAACCTCACCCAACCGCCAAGCCCTCCACCACCAAAAATACCCTCCCCGCGCCGACCCGTGCGCCAAAAAACGCGTCATCACGTGCTCACCTGCCCCAAAGACATGGCTGAACCGAGCGACCAATGGATATATATGGCCCAAAATCCCATCCGCCATCCCTGTCACTATCGAAGCTCCAAAGCTTCACGACCCAAATGGCGTCAAGTCCGCCAAATTCGCCAAATCCGCCGGCAAACTCACCCACAGCCATGGCTCCCCCCGACCCCAAGCCCGACGCTCAATCGGGCACCGACGCCGAGGACTGGACGGCCGCCCAAAAAGAAGCCCTTCAAGCCCACCTCTCCGCCCGCCGCACTGCTCGCACCACAGACGCCCGGCTCTCCCTCCCCACCCCCCAGCGCCTCCTCGTCGGCACCAGCACGGCCTTCCTCGTCGGCCTCACCCTCGGCGGCTCCCACGGCTTCAGCCTCGCCGGCTTGCGTTTCCGCGCCGAGAACGCGCATCGCCTCCCCAAAGAGCCGACGGGCTGGTATCTATATCATAAGAGCAAGAATTACCGGATGATGCTTGAGGGGGTGAGGGAGGGGGTCAGGATGGGGGGGAGGGTGGCGGTGTGGACGGTGTTGTTTTTGGGGACGGAGGAGGTGTGGGATGTGGTGAGGGGGAGGAGGGATGTGGGGAGTACGGTTATTGCGAGTGCGACTGTGGCGGGGGGGTTTAGTTTGTGGAGTAAGTTTTTGACCTTTTTTCTACTTCTTCTTCTGTTGCTTCTTCTTTTGCTTCTTCTTTTGCTTCTTCTTTTGCTTCTTCTTTTGCTTCTTCTTTTTCTTTGCCATTGCGAGAGTTCTCACATTCGGGGAGGAAGGAGCGATGCGCGAGTCGTCCCGTCTGTCTGGACTGTCTGAGAAGGAAGGAGCGTTGTTGGTGTGGAATGTATTTCTTGATGATGGGACCGACCTGTAGAAGAGGCTTTGCTGACTTAGTACACACAGACCGCTTTCCGATGGCTACGGCGGCGCGGACGGCGAAGACGGGTCTTGCGATCGGGCTGGCGTATGGGTTGGCGCAGGATGCGGTTGGGGCGATGAGGGGGAGAAGGCCGGGATATGTGGATTTTATTCTGGGGGGGGAGAGGGAGGGGGGGAGGGAGGGGGGGAGGTAGGGGGGATAGAAGGGATAGAAGGGATAGAAGGGATAGAAGGGATAGAAGGGATAGAAGGGATAGAAGGGATAGAAGGGATAGAAGGGATAGAAGGGATAGAAGGGATAGAAGGGATAGAAGGGATAGAAGGGATAGAAGGGATAGAAGGGACAGAAGGGACAGAAGGGATAGAAGGGACAGGGACAAAAGGGACAAGGGACGAGGGACGAGGGACGAGGGACAAGGACATAAAGGGGATAATAGGTAGAAAGGGGATAATGGGATAATGGGATAATGGGGATAGTGGGGATATTGGGGATAATGGGGATAATGGCGATAATGGCGATAATGGCGATAATGGCGATAATGGCGATAATGGCGATAATGGTCAGGTGATAGCGGCTAGAATCGGATGGATCATGATGGGTCAAGGATCAATAGACTTTACAATGAATTACTCACTCCCGCAGTGGCGTAACTGTCTTGGGGATAGCGAGGTGGGGCAATAGTGGGGTAATAATGGGGATTGTATCCCCCGCCCAATGGCACACGCTGCTCCTTCCAGTAGACCTCGTGCGACCGGACCTTCCCTCCTTCCTCCTTCCCTCTTCAATCTCGGCTTTCGTCGGGGTGCCGTCCTTTATTCTTCATCTTATCTAAACACAAGTGCCCTGCTAGTAATGCTATATATCCTCGTCTCGCCTCGCTTCATTGTCCATCCCAGTCGCCTCTCACCTCACCTCACCTCACCTCACCTCACCTCACCTCACCTCACCTCACCTCACCTCACCTCACCTCACCTCATCTCACCTCATCTCACCTCACTTCACTTCATTGATGAAGATGAAGATGAAGATGAAGATGAAGATGAAGCTGAAGCTCCCAACATCCAGCGCGAAGATCAGCCAGAACACACCATACCCCCGCCCCCTCTTCTCTCGCACCCTCCAACGACAAGCCCCAGCATCCACATCCTTCCCTCATGACTCCCTCCCCCACTCCCTCTCCCTCTCCCACTCCCACTCCCCCCTCGCCTCCACCCTCGCCTCCACCACAGCCACAACCCCCCAGCCCAGCCTGACCCGCCCCAAACCCCCCCCCTCTCCATCCTCCCCCTCCCCCTCCTCCTCCGCAACATCCTCATCTCCTCCATCTCCTCCTCGCGCCTCCTGCTCCCCCCCTCCCTCGCCGCCCTCTCCTTCCTCGCCTCCTCCCCATCCCCCCTCCTAAACCCCGACCGCAACCCCCTCCTCCGCGCCCTCCTCAGGCGCACCTTCTACGCCCACTTCTGCGCCGGCGAAACACCCACGGAGGTCTCCCGCACTATCGAATCACTTAGATCAATGGGCTACAAGGGCGTCATGCTCTGCTACGCACGCGAAGTCGTCCTCGATGCCCACGCCGCCGCCGCCCTCGAAGCATCAGGCGGCAAAGCCTCACGAGCAACCCTGACAAACGAGATCCCCCTCTGGGCGCAGGGGACCCTCAAGACCGTATCCCTCGTGGCCCCCGGCGGATTCGTGGCCGTCAAGCTCACCGGCGCGGGAAGCCAAGCCCTCTACAACCTCTCGCACAACCTCCCACCCAGCCCCGCCCTCGAAGACGCAATCGCATCCGTCTGCGACCTCGCCGCGACCCGCGGCGTCCGCCTCGTCTTCGACGCCGAGCAGGCTGCTCTCCAGACTGGCATCGACGCCTGGGTCCTCGACCTCATGCGTCGCTACAACAAGAAATCCGCCGTCGTCTACTCAACATACCAAGCGTACCTCAAAGCCTGCCCTGAAGTCCTCGCGCGCCACCTCGCCGTCGCGAGGAAGGAGGGGTTCGTCGCCGGCGTGAAACTAGTGAGGGGGGCCTACATCAACTCCGATCCGCGATACCTCATCAATGACACAAAGGAGGACACGGATACCATGTACGACGCCCTCGCCGAGTCCGTCCTCCGCCGCACCTACAACGCCGTCCTGCGCCCCGCCACTAGCGAAGAGTCGGACACCTTCCCAGAAGTCAGCCTCGCCCTCGCATCCCACAACCCCTCCTCCGTCCGCCTCGCCATGGCCATCCAAGAATCCCAAGCCGCAGCCGGCGAAGCGCGCATCGAGCTCGTTTACGGCCAGCTCCAGGGCATGGCGGACGAAGTGAGCTGCGAGCTTGTCCAGCGCGCCGTTGAGGTGGAAGGGCAGGTTGTGGTGGGGGGGGAGGCGAGGATGGTGGTGCCGCAGGCGTATAAGTATCTTGTGTGGGGGACGACGGGGGAGTGTATGAGGTACCTTGCGAGGAGGGCGCAGGAGAACAAGGATGCGGTTGAGCGGACGAGGGAGGGGAGGGACCTGATGGCCAGGGAGGCGGTGAGGAGGGCTAGGGGGTTTTTTGGGTGGTAGATGAGTGGGATTGGGGGTGTGGAGGGGAGATGTTTTTGAAAAATGCGAGGCTTGGCGGATTTGGCAAATGGGAAGGGGGGGATGAAGTAGGTGGTGTTCAAGATTCGTTTTTTTTTCTCGCACTACAAGCGCTAGATGGAGCGTCGGGGAGTTTGGGAGATTATCATCTGCTCTTTTTGGTTTTGGAGCCTGAGCTGGAGTTTTTGGAAGTTCAGCGTCCCTTTCATGTGGCGGGCGAGGGAGTTCTCTTGTTCGTTTCTTCCTGGTTGGGAGATGACGGTAGATAGAGAAGCAAAGATGAGAAGTTCAAGATATAATTCATGACTGCTGTCTTTGGTGTTGGGTGAGGTGTTTTGGGTTTCTATCGTGAGTTGGGACACTTTGGGGGTCTGGACTTTTCGGTACTGAGGAGGCTACGAAGCTTGGGAGTCCAATTCTTAAACTGCAGTGTCCGTGGTATTGCCTGGATTGTTTTCGTTTCTATCGTGAGCCGGGATACCGTGGGGGTTCTGGCCTTTCCGGTGATGAGGAGGGTAGTCGTCCTCGCTCAATTTTCCTTTCGGAGCTCAAGTCTTTCTTTGAACATATATATCTACTGTCTAATCCAAGGCCCGACCCGCCTTGGCAAAGAATCCCAATACCTAAATCCCTTCCATCCTTTGTCTCCACCTCCCGCCCCATTTCCAGCACTCCCAGCACCCCCAGTCCTTCCTCCTCCCCCATCCCGATTAGGAAATAATAATTTAGATAGCCTGGAGGTCGGTTCTGTAATTATTGTTCAGCCCCACTCTATCGAGATTAGCAGAGAGCGAATTCCTTTGTTCTGCGCGGCGTGGTGTGGGGCGGCAAGGGCGGCTAGTAATAGGAGGGCCGCCTGGTTCGGTGTGAACTCCTCCTTCTTCTTTTCTGCAACAACACCAAGGATCCAACATCACAGTATATCTGTGATTACTTACTCTTTCTTCGGATTCTTCGTGTGGTTATTACTTCTTGGCTTCGGCCTTGCAACGCCTACCTTTTTCTACTCCGTACTTCCTCCTCAACAACACATTCTACCCTCTTCAGCAAAACAACCACGCTCTCACCCTCCCCGCTTACCTTTCCCCCTCCGGCTTCACGGCCCTGCCCTGTCCTCGGCTTCCTTCCTGTACCTGCGAATTGATTTTGCGACTCTCCGTCGCCTCTCCTTCTCTTACCCTCAGCTCATCCTTCCTCCCCTTTATCTTGCGCATCTCAAGATGTCTAGAAACCAATCCTCCCAATCAAGGCACGGAGTAAGTCCCACCCCCTCTCGTCGCTTTTCATCGCACACATTCCTGGCCCTGTGAAAGCCTCTGTTGAGAACCGATATCTTGACCCCTTTCATCGGCTACTATCGCTCCTTTTCTCTTGCGTCGTCCCTTTGTCCTGACTTCCTATCATGGCTGTGTTATCCGCTCACACTCCTTTGTTCGGGGCTTGGGCTGGGGCTCCGTTCTCATTTCTCACCTTGGGATCAACTATAAATTCCCTCCAACATTTGCTAACTCACCACCACAGATTGGCAACACGGAGCTCCGGCTGAACTCACTCGGCATAGCGACGAACTCGGCCGGGGATCTCGTCTATCTCGCAGATAGAGAGATCCCCCTTCCCTTAGACGAACTCGGTGAGGCCCTCCCCCGCTCCTTTCCGCAATCGGCTTCTCTAACTCGGCAATTCAGCTGAAGCAATGATGGCCGTCCATTACCCCGGCTGTATGCCGCTTTATACAGGGCATGCTCGGGATCACCAGGCCACCCCAACCCGTCCGCCAGGACTACCCAGCCCGAGACGTCGAAACTCGCAGTTGTTGTTAAGTATCCCGCAGGGTGTAAGCCGTCCCTTCCCGTTCTTTCCCTTCCCATCCATTTCCTTCTCTTCTTTCATCGACCTATATATTACCTTCACCTCTTGATCTGGACTGACTTTCTCTCTTCTTCAAACAGCTCGGAGATAACCACCAGCAGCATACAGCTGCTCAGGAGGCCGCACCAACGGTCTCCGTGACCAGTCCAGCTCCGACCTCAACTCCAGTCGCGGCTCTAGCCGCAGACGCAGCTGTCTCCGAGGCAAAAGGCCGGACCAGCCGAGGTGTTTTTGTCCGTCTCGGTGGCTGTAAGTTTTCCTTTGAAAAAGGCCGTGTTGGTGTGAAGTTGTTCTGCCTGATACTGACTTTGAACAGACTTCACCACTGACCAGCTTCGAGACTCGGAGCTCATTTTCCCGCCTCAAACGATGCAGGGCAAGCCCATGGTTGCGCAAGGACCGTCTTCGGCAGGTGCTGCGAACACCCTCCCTTCTGCCACGCTTCCTTCTGCCGCGCCCCAAGGCAGCGTTTTCTACATACCGCAGGCACCAGCAGCTACCGCTGCCGCTTTTGTTCCGCGAGCCACTGCGGCTCCCTTCGTTCCTGCATTCTCGGCGGCTTCAAGAAGCCTTACGTCAACTGCTCCAGCGGCCGCTGCGATGAGCAGCTCCCTGGCTGTCGTCCGCCCATCGACTCCCCAAACGGCAGTTCCGATGCCAGCATCCTCAGGAGCACCAGATACCGGCAAGCTTCGAATTACAGTCAAGCTGCCACAGGCCTCTTCCGGAGCTGCACCGCAGCCAGTGCCCGGCACTCTCGTCGTGGCATCGGACCTCAGGGTCGTCATACTCATGGGGGTACCCCCATTAACTTCCCTGAAGCAAGTGTCGGACTCTATTTCCTCGGGTCTGTTTGGGGCGGTTTTCGCCATTACGTTCGGGAACCAGGATGGTAAACGTCTGGCAAGCATCGTCTTTCGGGATGCGGTGGCGGTGGATACACATCCAGGCGCAACTCCAGGTGCCGCTGGATACCTCCGGGCAATGAGGGCCGCGATCTTGCAGCCGTGGGCGGATAGAGATCGGATTTTGTGGCCGTTCCCGGACGGATGGTCGATCGATATTCAAGTGCATCCACGGGAGGCTTGCGACCTTATCCGAGCCATGCGGCCGGACCGCGAAAGAGGAACGCCAGCGATTTCGCGCCGGCTCTCCATGGTTGGTCCGAGTGGCCTATTCAATGAGTTTAGGTATCACGACATTCTGCGTGTTGTCCAGGCGCGGGGCAAAATCCTAGGAGCCAGAGTTCAGCACCTGTTTATTTACAACGGGGGCAATGCGACGATGATTTTCGCCGATGTAGAATCTGCGCAGAAGGCGTTGTGCCACTTGGAGGAACACAACAGCCAATATCCGAAGGAAAAGAGGGTCACCGTAACGCACTCCAAGTGCCCCGGTGAAGTCCTGGTCCAGTTCGAAAAGGACCGGGCTTATATTACCCACTTGAAGAACAATCCTCGGAAGTGAACAGATCGTTTATTGGGATTCCAACGGATGGAGAGAGAGCCGCCTTTGTTTTTCCAGCGGTAGCATTCGTGTTTTCCGTACGTGGGCGGTCTCTCTCCTCCGTCCCCTTTTGGCCGGTCGTCGTCTTGCTGCTCTTATCCGCGGTTGGTCTGGCATTGCGATCTTTGTCTTGCCGCAGCGGTTTCCTTTTTTTCTTTACGAGCTGCTGTACGTGGATAGCAATGCCAGGCCTTCCCGCCATCCAACATAGTTGTGCTGCTCTGCGCGTTGTCATCTTCTGGATTCCCCGTTCACCTCTCCTGGTATGTAGCGGGGGTTGCTGCCTTTGTTGTTCCACAGCAGCTCCGGGCTGCTGTACGTGGGCAGCAACTCCTGGCCTCTTCCTCCGAAGTGCTTCAGTGCTTGAACCAAGGTCCCATGGGACCTGGTCCGGTTGGCGTGCTTTCCGAATCGACTTTTGTTGAGGATTTTCATGAACCTAAGAGTTCTCCATCTTCAGTTGGGTGGTGATATTTCTCCTCGCCATCGACCAGCCCACCCAAGATCTTTACAAATCAGTATCGGACACCGTATTATCACCGAAGTTGGTACCGGAACTATTCGGCAGTTTCACAACTCGACTTGTCTTGGTGGCTTTTGGCTCCCTCATCTGGTTTTACTTCTTCGCCGGCCTTGACTTCTTTTTCGACAATGGTTCCTTTCTCGTCATTGGCTCATCTTCAACATTAGTTATCTTCGATATTGGCTTTGCTTTCGACATTGGTTCATCTCTAGCATTGGCTTTTCTTTGGGCATCGACTACTCTATCGACTTTTGCGCGCACGTTCGTCAACTTCTTCGGCTTTTCTTTTCGGTGTGTGTACACAGAGAGGTCAATAAATCGTGCTTTGAAATTAAGATCCTTATGAATGTGACTGTAAGCCTGAATGTGATATAAATGCGGCGATAAAATGAGTGATGGTGTGAGGAATTGTGAATGGGCGAAGGTTCCGTGATTGTGAATCACGCCATCAAACTTCTTTTCAGCATCACTCACTTATCAATAACCTCACAGGATTCAAACAACAAAAATACGACACTGTACAGAAAAGCGTATTCTTCAAGCTAATTCACGGCTTAGCTAAGAACACAATATAATACGTTATGGCATGGTATGGTATACACACCGACCCTCCCAACCCAGCCCACCTTCCCAAACGCCATCCTCACCCAAAATCACCGCACCATCATAGCAAACCCATCCACAAACGCCAACCCTCAATCATGCATCTTACAAGTCACCCCTCATCTCCATCCCCCCTCACGCACCTCACACCTCCACTCCCAATATCAAAAATATTCAACGGCCATGCACCCCCCGTCGTGGGTCCCCCACCATCCCCCATCATCCCCACCTGCTGCTGCTGCTGAGCACCCCCCATAACAACACCCCCACCCATCTGCGCCATCTCCGTCCCTTCCCCTGCTCCCCCTCCATCCCCAGACCCCCCACCCATATCCCGCCCACCAAGCTGCATCAGCGCACTCGCGCTATAACAATCCTGCGGCTCTAAATTCCCCGCCATAGTCGACGTCCACAGGTGCCACGACTGCGACCCAGAGTGTGGATTCCCGTTCGCCCCGGTAGCGTTTCCATTAACACCCATCCCGCCAACGCCGTTCCCCGTCGCGGTGTTGGGTTGGGCGTTCGAGCGTACTGGCCATGCGGCTGGCACCTCTGATGCCTGTGCTGCGAAGGCGGCGAGAAGGGGCGCCTCGACGCTGTCGCTCATGCCGGGTGTGTAGGCGTATCCGTGCTCCTGTGGCGGGTACGGCACCCCTGACGATGCGGGCGGGTCGGGGTAGTACTGTGTTGCGGCTGGGTAGGGTGTGGATTGGTGGGCAAGCCCTTGTTGGTCGGGTGTGAGGTAGGCATTTGTGGTTGTTGCGGAGCCATGTGAGTTGTCGGGGAATTGGGTGGGGAAAGTAGAGGAAGAGGGCTGAGGATAGGTGCTGGGATTGGTATGGGTGGGTGTTGTGGTGGTGCCGGTGGTGGAGGGAGCGGCGTTGGTGTTTTGGGATTGTGGAGGGCGGGAGGGGGATTTGAAGTGCTCGGCTGCCGCTTTGCTTTGCAAGTTGCGGCTCAAAAGCCCGATTGTGCCGTCGGTGACAACGCGGACTGCTTCGCGCAGACGGGTTCCAGAACCTAATGATGTTAGTTTTGTTGGGATGGATATCAGAAAGGAAGGATACATACCTAGTAATGCGCCAATATCGCCCATTATATTCAGCCACTCATCCATCGCGACTCTCAGTGCTGCCAGGTCCGACGCAGTCGTTTCATTGCGCTTCTCCCACTGCGCGAACAATGTCGTAGTAATCGCCATCACAAACACAGCGCTGTTATACCACGTCGTATCCAAACTCTTGAAAGTCTGGAGTTGCTTCGCTGCCACAAGCATCTGCCCTGCGCACTCGACACATATCCGCATGCTCTCCGTATTGAACGCCACATCTTGCGTCATGGACACAGCCGGGTGTCGTAGCAACATGCGGAATTCGAGACCCCATAGCTCGGCGTACAGAGCAAAAACGCGGGCCTCCTGTCCGTTCGATGCTGAGGAGGTAACGAGCTCGCTTGGCAAGCCATCGCGCCACTCCTTGATCTTGGCCTCGAGTGTGTGCATGGCCTCCATGTATGTGTCTGGCGACCGTTTCACGGTGTATACCGTGCTGAACATTCCCAGGAATAGGGCGTGGACTTTGAAGGCCTGGAGGCCGATGCTATGGAGGCACTTCCCGCTTCTCTGCGCCAGGGGCAAGTCGAGCTCGGCAAATACTTCATCGTCCATTGGCTCTGGAATTTCGACGTCGAAGTCCTCGAGGCGGAAGGGCATGGGACGCCCGAGTTTGCCACTCAGTGTAATACTGATGACGAGGATTGACCAGAAGATTCGCTTGCGGATCTCCTGGTCGTAGGCGCTCACGTCACTGTCAGGTCCCCACCGCTTGACTGAGTGGTGCAGGCCAAGCTCCATGGCAAATATCACCGTTACCCGTGAGAGGATCCAGCTGGCGCCTGGTTTGGGGAAATTGCGAAGGTGCGAGCAGACCAATGCCATGGCCTGTGCGTCTTCGAGCGTGTGGCTGCATGACAAGTCGTAGAACATGCCGAGCGCGTAGTGGTAGTGAAGGTTGGACTGGGCGTTAAGATAGGCTTGCTGCGATGAATCTTCCAGATTCCGGACAGAGTATTGGAAGAACATGATGGCGAAGACCATGTGGATCATCACGGTTTGAGCGACGGTCGGACGGAAAGTTGGGTCATCGTAAACGCGAGTCAACTATCGTACATTAGAATCCTAGAGGCAATTTGAGCAAGTGGGCAATAGATACCAAAGCCATGAAGGTTCCCTTGTGAAGAATCGGCATAAATGAATTGACAACGCGGAAGAACCATTGTGCATATGTGATCCCCTCCTCTCGATCTGGCAGCTTGACCTTATCAAGCTTCGGGTTGATATTGAGGGCACTCTGCAGGAATGCCTGGTACGACTTATTATATAAATTCGGGTGTAGCGTATTCTGCTCCGGCTCATCGAGGTCCTGCGACGGGAAATCGGTTATGTCAATCTCCATCCCCAGAATCGACAGCGCCGTGCCCTTGATCGAGCTCAACACCGACGTCGGCGCTAGCACGCCCAGGTAGTTATCCCCAGGGCATCCCGCCCTGAACGCCGGCAGCACGCGGAACACATTCGTCTCCTGCGGGTTCGGGGGAGCGTTGTGGCTCGGCGTCGGAGTCGCGTACACGCTTGGGTTCGGGCCCGCAGTCCACATCGACGGGAGGCCATTATGGGAGACGTTGTTGTAGTACTGTGCAGCTGCTAGCTCTGGGAAGGTATTTGACGGCTTAACTTCAATGCCATTCTGCATCAGCAGGCCCTCGAGCTCGCGAATTCGCGACGATTGGTCGCGGTTCTGCTGCTCGATTGACTCCACGTAGCCTCGTGGGGCAGCGCGGCCGGTGATGCGGTCCGTGGTTCGACATTCCGTGTTATTTTGTAGGCAAGGTGAGCATCCATTTGTCAGGCCATCGCAGCGGATTTTCCGGACCTGTGAGAATCAATCAGCGCCTGTATAGCTAGCTATAGGGGATGTATGCGTCGTACCTTGCATCGGTCGCAGGCCTGGCCCGTCCTCGTCGATGACTGTAGACGCTTCTTGACGGAGTTGGAGAAAGTCTCTGGCTTCGTTTCTGGCTTTGGAAGCTTCGCTGGCGTGCCCGTGGGCGACCCTGAGGCCGTTCGCTTTGGAGGCATTGGGTGAGCTCGAGGCGACGCGGAGGATGCCGTGCTTAGGATGCGTATGGAAGTAGCCGAAGGTGACGGAGACAGGGACGGCGACAGTGAATGATGACCGAGATGGTCTCGATGAGTTTGTCGCAACGCGCCCACGACAGGCTGAGACTGTAACGACAACGACGAGGCCGTGTTGTCGCGAAGGAATCGATGGGGATGGTGGTTTTGGCCCATTTTTGGGACCTCTGGGATTTTGTGTGGTGGACTGGGAAAACGCGCTAGTTTTCGAGGCTGGGGCTGGCTTGTGAATACCACGGTGCTGGATATCACTGTGATGGAACATCCAGGGAGCACCGCGCATCATATTGCGTATATATATAAAATATATAAAAAAAGGCGTATTAATGAATAGGAAGTAGTGTGCATACATACTTCTTTTCTGTATTGAATGCGGCTGAGCATCTTTGCATCACCTTCAGAAATCCCCGAACACGGCTGGTTCTCGTCCTGCGTCGACGGTTCTCTCTCTCCGGACATATTATAGGCACGTCTCTATATAACTTTATACTTGGTATTGGATGTCCCTGGACGGCCAACCAGACAAGCCAATCAGACAGCTACCGGGAATCCCGGGGCGGCGGGGGGCAGGGCGGCAGGGCGGCAGGGTAGATGATGCATATTGAAGCTGCAGATGTGGATATCCTGTCTGCACTGAACATCAGCCCTACGGCTGGGCTATGTGAGATGCGGGTTGTTCACTTTCTAGTGGAGCATTTATTAGCATTTGTCGCCTAAACATACCCCGCCGGCATATCATCGACCATCGACATCGACATGTCAACCACAACCACAGCCACAGCCACAGACATCCCATCCCACCCAGCAATCGGTGTCATCCCGCAACTGCATCTCCTGAAACAACACCAAGAATCTCTTAGAGACTCTACTCTCGAGACTACAGTATTCTGGACCTCACCTCACCCACTCCGAAAATCACCGCCGCATCGGCGATTGGACCCCAAAACCCACCTGAACAACTGCCTCGCCATCTCCCACCACAGCCACCACCACAACCCAAGACATCCATCCATCGCATATACCTCTCCCTCGCCCTCATCAAGCCTTCTGCGTTTGTGCGTACGACCTCGCCCTCACCGCCACCAATGTCCCTCACCACCATCGCCATCGACCACCTGCCCCCAGGCCACGACGTTCACATCGCCCTCTTCCACTCCATCACCAACGCCGCTTTCCTGCACGCACAGCTGCTCGCCAGCAACACCGACTTCGAATATGCCCTCGTCGATGCTGGCGTCGTGCGTCCTCCCTTCCTCTTCCGGCCCGTAATCTCTTGTCCGGGCAGATATGTGTCACGTGATTATGATATGTACGAGGCAGACGGGCTGACTGGCTACCATAGATCGTGTCGAAGGTGCAGATCCTCGCTGCCGCATTCAGGGCGATAAACGATAATCTCGAAGGCCGACTGCGGACGCGGAACGTGCATTCTGAGATGGTCTTCTGTCTCAGCCCCAATAACAACGTGAGTCGACGTCCGATTTCGAGACCCCTCCCCACACGGCTTCAACATCACTCATCTCCAATGCATACTAACCGTCCCCCCCAGATCGCAGAATCCTTCCGCCGCTTCGGCGTCTCCCCCACCACCACCTCCCTAATAGCCATCAAAACCACCACCCCCTCCTCCCCATCCTCCCTCACCCCCGCATCGATACAAGCGCACCTCGCCTCCGCCGTGGAGGGCAAGCAGGTCCCCTTCAGCGATGAGGAGCTCGGCATGGTGACGGACTGGGCGAGGGTGAGGAAGGTGTATAAGCTCCCGCTTGTGGGACAGCAGGGGAAGAAGAAGGGGATGGGGGAGGAGGAGAAGAGGGAGGAGGAGGAGAGGGAGAGGAGGGAGGTGGGGGTTCAGGTTTTGGGGGCTATGGCGTTGAGGGGTGCGTCGTAGTGAGGGATGGGATTGCAAATAGAAATCATGACATTTAATAAAGTGGCTATCTGGTTGCTGTTGGTGAGACATCTCATCATGAATCACCGCCGCATAAATGGGAGGCTACAGCTACTACTGAACTCCAACCCCAACTGGATATCATCACAAAAACCACAAGAACAACCACAGAAACGATGAATGAAGAAAAACAAGTTCTCCCGAAATTCATATCACTACAATACAAGAAAACCGGCTTTCGCCGCGCTCATCATTCCCACCCACTACTCCCAACCCAAACCCGTATAATACATACAAACCCTAACATATACTCGAACTTTCAAAAAAACTCACCCCCACAAACGCCTCGCGCCACCTCACTCACCACTTCACTTCCCAACCATCATCACCTCCACCCCCCCTTCCCCACAACCCCAACCGCACTCTCCCTCTGCCTCGGCGTCCCCACAGCCCCCAACCTAACAGCCTGCACCGCACTCATTCCCCCCACCGAACTCGCAATCGTCGTCCTCCTCGGCCCCGGCCCCCCGGACGCACTCTTAATCACCGGCGCCGTCCTTGGACTCAACACGCTCCCAACCACAGGTTCCTTCCCAGACCCAACCATCCTCCTCGCCTGCCCGGCCGAGAAATGCGCTTCTGCAGGCGGACTGCCCCCGCCCACGATAGAAGCGGCAGTAGGACTGCGGCGGCGCGCAGTGCGCAGGGCGCTCTCGGACATGCTGTGCGCGTGACTACCGCGGGACTGACGCAGCGCAGCGCGGATCTTGGCACTATCCGCGTGCGAAATATTTTCCGTGTCTGACGTCAGCGCGGACGAGTCGGGCGTCGAGGACGGCGTGAGTTCGTTAGCGAGCGCGGAGGTGGGAGGAGCGGATGTCGAGAGACGGTTTCCGGCTTTGGTGGGGTCGATGGAGCGGAGTGGGGAGGTGTCGGAGAAGGATGGGGATGTGGAGGTTGGATGGGTGGGGGATGTGTTGTCGGGTCGCTTCGAGAGGAAGCCGGCTTGGAAGCGGCTGTTCTTGGGCTTGATGTCCAGGCTTGGCTGGGGCGCTTCGGGGACGGGCGAGGAATCTGTCGAGTCGTCTAGCAGTTCTGAAGCGAGGTTCGATGGCAGCGGTGGCAGGATAAAGCTCGCTTCCCCTGAGGAGGCCTCGGGTGTGAATTGAAGCTTCTGAGGCGTCTTTTCAAACTCCGCGAGAGCGCCCGAGTCGGCGTCGTCACGCCAGCGCACGCTGCGCTTCTTCAGTGACTTCTTGTTCGGCGTGAAGGAGATGCCCTTCTTGCCTGGCACCTTGCGACGTCTAGGCGAGCCTCGCATGGGGGAGGGAGCCACATGGTCTGGGACTGGAGCGGGTAGAGGCTCCAATGTTAGCGGTGCGATCTGAGTTTCGTCATCTACGAACAAGTTGACTTGCTTCTTCTTCTTCGGTGTCCCACGCTTCGTTGGTGGGAAGGCCTGGGTAACATTGAGCGATCCATCGGGCTTGATGACGTGCGATGCTGCAGTCGAGCAGCTGTTGAATAGCCTGGTCAAAACCGACTTGGCATGCCGGACGGCATCCTCCTGGCTCATGGCTAGGATGTCACCGAGAGAAGAGATCAGGTCGAACTGGGCAGAGAGCAGCACTTGCATAACGCCCAAATCTCCGGATTTCTCTAACTCGACAACCTCCAATAGCGCATCGCGTGCAGCGTTGGCCTTGAGGAGTTCCGCTTCGCGTTCCAAACTCGCGGCTTCTGTTCCATCTGTTGTGCCATCAGCCTCCGTCAGCTGGCGAATACTGTTCTGCGCCGCGGAATCAATAGCGCGCTCCCAGTTGTTCTTCTGCTGTCGTTGATGGTAATGCTGGCGGCTATGCTCTAACTCGACCAAGATTCCTTGAGCTGTCTTCCTCATTGAGGTCAAGCTTGGTGGCATGACGCCATCGTCTCTGTTGTCGCAAATGCTGTCGAAGGAAGCAATCCATGCTGACAGGATTGAGATTCTGCGCTCGATCTGGTGTAGCTTCTTCATGTTATTTGACTTTTCCTGTCTCTCCGAAACCGACAATTCGTATGCCGCGCGAATTCTTGCGATGCCTTCTTTCGCAATGTGATCTCTCTTTTCGGTCTGCTTCTTAAATTTCACAAACGCCGCCTCTTCATAATTCTTTTGCTGGGCTCTGAGCTCAGTAATGAGAGCCATTTGCTCATCGATCTTAATTACGAAATCCTTCACATGACGGTTGACATTATAAACGTTTCTCGTGACCTTCGTTTGGATGTTCTTGGCTCTGTTCGCATATCGCAATGTATTCTGCGTCTCGTCGAAATGTGCACTCGAGGGGCTGACGCAAACAATCATAACCGTCCTGCAGTTGCCTCCGAGAGAGAATTTAAGCAGTCGAGTGAGCTTTGAATTTCTGTAGGGGACGTGGTTCTTCTTGCGGGGGTCACACAATGCGTTGATACAGCTTCCCAAGGCTAGCAGTGATTTGTTGATGTTCGCACCTTCGAGAAGGCGGTCTCCCCGATTCTTCGTCACGCTAGCGCGCTCGCTGCCGGCAAGATCGATAATGCTGAGTGTTGCCATCGTATGTGGCTCGTTCACGGCGGCGTTCCTGTCCTTTTGCGCCACATTGATCTGTAAAACCGCATGTGATCGTGATGATGTCGCGTTAGCTTCTGTTGGTGATATTGTGCGGTACTCGTTTCCCTTAACAATCATGTCCATGACTTCCTGGACGTCTTTGGGGTGGTGGCTAGATAACGCAGCCACGGAGACAGTTTGGTTCGCATCTTCTCTCAGCATCAATCCTTGTTTACTTCCACCTGGCTCGAGTAAATCTCGGATCGTCTCGTTATAGATCTCCAGGTATGAAAGGGACACCTCAGTATGCTTCTCGTCGCTCCTCTCTGCAATCTTCTCGAACAACTCTTGCATTGTCAAGAAAATGATGCCAGGCTGCTGAGCTGTTCCGGTAATCGTATGGGTCTTGCCACAGCCGGTGGCTCCATATGCGAAAACAGTGGCATTGTATCCGTCCAGCACGCTATCCAGAAGACTTCGAGTTGTCGCTTCGTATACGTCGCCCTGTGTTGTGTTCTCGTCAAAGACTCGGTCGAATCCGAAGGTCTGATCCTTGCTTCGCTTTCCCATGCTCAAGAGGTTTCCCCGAGAGAATTTCGTCATGCCATTGTCTTCGGGTGGATCGAACACACTGTAAGAATTAGCACCAGCAGCGGTCTCCAACTTGAGAAACATACAGGCATTTATCGTCCACAACTTTGATCACCGGGTGTATGCCTTTATTCGTAATTCTCGAAGTGGGCGCTGCTGCGAGGGACCCATCGCCCAGAAAGATTGTTCCATCATCGCATTTCTTGCTACAAATTGTCAGAGTCCGGATTCTGAGCCACACGGCGGATACACTTACAGTTGCGCAGCCTCCTTGAGCGTGAACGGTCTCACACGAACTATAAACTGTTATTCCAGCTCATAGAAGTGTATGGTCACCCTTACCAGTTACTGAGATAGAAGACGCTCCTGTAGGTGGCTCCATCTCTGTTGTTGCTCGGATCCTCTGTCAACCTCCTCCCAGAACTCGCGTAAACAAAGCCCCTTTGGCTCCTGGTTGACCCCGGTATATCGTAATTATAAATGTGAGTGGCAGAATAATGTTTCTGGTATCTTGGGCTGTTGCTGTTGTTAGTAGGTTGTGTCGCAATTGTATGGGCTGTAAACTGAGGGTCCTCCCTTGATGTTGTGGTGGTTGTCTATCCAACGCAAGCGACGCAACCAACTGCAGGCTGACAAGACGCGGCTTCACGACTTGAAACATCCCTGCCATGATTTTCTATTTCTCAGGAACCATCTTAATAAACTCAGGTCACAAGAATTGTGTCGGAATTTCATTTAAGACAACGATTGCAGAGCATCTCAGGTCACAAGAGAATGTCTTGGAATTTCATTTTAAAGCAACGATTGCATAGCATTCATTATAATTCACCGAGCAGAAGAGTGGCCATAAAAGAGCAGAGATAACCAGGTCATAAAACACCAACCGAACAGACAGAACAGCCAGAATAGCCGGAACTTCGCTCCATCCTCAAGAGACCACAGCAACCTCAGGTAAAACTCGTATCACTGGAGGCTTTACTGCGATTCCCAGATCAATCACCTCCTTTCCTTTCTCGTTGGTCCAACCCCTCTCTGGCCCCCACGATATCACTTTCCGATGCTGGTTCACCACACTCATCAAACCGCTTATCATGGGTCCATCCTTGTTAATTGAAGTCCAGGCGTCAAGCTGGACCTCACTGATTGATGGCACAGCCTCCAAAATCTTGTCAAGCAAGGATTTCGAAAAATCTTCATAGAATGATTCGCCCAGACCTCTGGCGCGGTACCCATTGAACATTGGATTTGATGTATCAACCTGAACAATGACTTTGAGAATGCGAACATTTATGGCATCCTTTAGGCCTAGAGATTCCGTCACAGCCCAGTTCTTCGGAGGGCTTGCAAACCCTGGGCCAAGGCGCAACTCAAGGGATGATATAGAGCTCCGGCATCGTGGGGATAGGCGGGCAAGAAGAGGCCGTTTTGACTTGAAGTACCGGTCGATACATGGGAAGATGCGGAACGTTCTGGTGGAATAAAGGAGATGAGATGCCTCCCCGTGTATTCGGCGCGAGGCATATAATATGGACAACTTGCGATGGATGTTTTTGTAGTTGTCCGGGTCCAGGTCAATGACGTCGGGGCAAGAGTGGAATATCAAGGCGTATATCTTCAACCGAAGCTCCGAGGGGAGATCGAGAAGCCTGAACGGTTCTGTTGCTTCTGACTTCGATGTCACATCTTCCGTAGGGTACGCCCTGGTCGCGGAGATCTTGGCACCTCCCCATGCCCTCAGCGTCAACACTTTGTGTTTCATTGACGAATCTTCCGGCTCCGATTTCTGATCTTGTGGAGAATACGCGGATGTGTGGATCGCACTGGTTCCAGAGACCTTCGCACTTCCTCCTCCCCGTGACCTCAGCGTCAACACTTTATTCTTCATTGATGCAGTGATTTTCTTGATGATTTCAGGGTTTGGATTTGTCAAAGAGTAGTTTTATTGAACGTTAAATCGTAAAATAGGTAGCTTAGGGCCAAGATAGTACGAAAGTTGTAGTGGAAGGGTTTTGAGTGTAGCACTACAACGGGCGAGATCCTTTCATGGAGCGGACTTCGAAAAGAACCGGACTCATGGTCTCGTCTTTAGCAGAGCCATTTCGGTCTCCCCAGCTAATACAACTCTACGTCCATTGAAAGTAAAGGAGCGTCGAGTCAAATTTCGTTTACTGGGTGTCAACTTTGAAGAAGAAAGGACGAGACGAGGACAGGAAGTTTGTTTTATGTAGAAATAACTGCTAGCGTGGTTGAGTCGGTCACCGTACCGACCTAGGCTGGTTTTTTTGGGAGGACCATAATTCCATCATCGAATAACCCCCCAGAGCCTCATTTAAGCTCAAATGACCTTCTAGTCGGAGTGTCGCATTTGTAGGATTCACATATTGGGCATCCTTTGAAGCTCAGATTTCCACAATGCTTGCAAGAGCAGTGCGCGGCTCCCTGCGCGCCCCAGCGGTGAGGGCGGCGCCAGCAAGATTCCTGCCACCCTCAACAGCTCTATGGAGTCGGGGGCTTGCCGACCAGCGACCAACTCAGCCAAAGAAGCCGACAACCCAGCAAAGACCTTCATCGGAACTTCCAACGAAGGCTTCTGCCGGCGGCACTGCGGCTGGTGCAGATGGGAAAGCGTCATCCATCGAGGACCCTGACGTATCTTGCCAACAACCCGAATTCGAAACCCAAGCATCACCATCGGAGAATGCCCCACAGAACGAATCCGCATCTACCAACGGCGCGGCGCAACACTTCAAACTGCCTGATCTCAGGGGAGGCCTGCCATCGACGCTGGAGTTCGAATCCAGAGGTAGCACAGCCAACGAATCTGCGGCATCGGCCCTGAACCTTACGGAAGACCCACATGAAGCAACTGGCGGAGGTGGACGAGGGCCGAAAGGCGAGCTCCCCGCCTCGGCATACGTATCATCTTCGGAGAAGAAGCGTGCTCGTGTCGCGAACTACCTGTACGGGTCGTTTTTCGCAACATGCATTGCCGCCTACGTATACTTGGGCAGAAACTGGGAGTCGGAGGAGGAAGAGCGACAACACGTCGATGCGCCCTCTGGATGGTCTCTTGGACTCATGTGGGCTCGTTTCCGAGCTCGCACGGGAGACCAGCTGAGCTACTACAGCGAGCCGACATTCAAGAAGCTCTTGCCTGACGTTGACCCAAGCTTCGGGCGCCCATATACACTGGTTTTGAGTTTGGAGGATCTGCTCATCCACAGTGAGTGGTCAAGAGAGCACGGATGGCGAATGGCAAAGAGGCCGGGTGTGGACTACTTCCTGAGATACCTCAGCCAGTACTACGAGCTGGTTATATTTACCTCCGTCCCATGGGCCATCGGCGAGCCAGTTATTAAGAAGTTGGACCCATACCATGTCGTCACCTGGCCATTGTTCCGAGAGGCTACAATGTACAGAAAGGGCGAATATGTGAAGGTATAACTTGCAAGTCATTGGATTGGTGACATTAAGCTAACTATCTGCCAGGATCTCTCCTACCTGAACCGTGACCTTTCAAAGGTCATTATACTCGACACTTCCAAGGCCCACACGGAAGAACAGCCCGAAAACGCCATCATCATGCCCAAGTGGAAGGGAGATTCCAAGGATAAGGAGCTGGTTTCACTCATTCCATTTCTCGAGTACATACCCACCATGGCCGTTCCAGATGTGAGGAAGGCCATTGCCTCATTCGAAGGAACTCATATCCCAACTGAATTTGCGGCACGTGAAGCCGTCGCCCGTAAGAAGTTCATGGAGCAAATTGAAGCTGAGAAGAAGAAGAAGCCGAAGAAGGGCGGCGTCAGCTTCTTGAACTCTGCTCTTGGCATCAAGCCACAGGCTGCCTTTGAAGGAGAGCAGTCAGCCAGCGAGGCGTTTGCCCAGGGTAAGATGTTGCAGGATCAGGCGAGAGAGAGAGGCCAGAAGAACTACGAGGCTTTGGATAAGATGATTAGGGAGGAGGGTGAGAAGTGGCTGAAGGAAGAGGCTGCGCATGAGGAGATGGCGAAGCAGGAGGGCATGAAGGCTATGAAGAGCGGGCTGACTGGGTTCTTTGGTGTGTCTGGAGATAAGCCCAATGAGCCTTCGCCCTCGTCCTCGTGAACAGGGAATGCCATGGGTGGGTGTGGCACTTGAGTCGAGGGGAAGCACCCCCTGCGACTGTCCGAGTCCCTAACTCAACTCTCATCTCTTTTGTATGTTGGTTTACGTTGCGAAGGTACGATCTCGGTGTCTGAAAAGTGTGCGAAATTGTACAATACATCGGTTGGATTGGGTAGGGCTGTAAGATATATATAGATGGGGTGTAACGAATAATATACTTTCCATGAATTTATTTTGTCATACTTATCAGGGTTAGCAATTCGAATATAAACTTGAATTCGGCAAACGAGTAAAATCTCACCTGCGCATGCGTAGGTGATTCCTCGTTTCCAACGAGAAGTTTGAAATAAAGCCATGTAAACATTGTTTTTAGAGTATAAATTGCTCTATATAGCCTATGGCCTACTATATACTAGAACCTATGCCACCACTGTACAATCATATTGTCAGTGTTCGGCAGATACTACCCAGGTAGTATCTGGGTCCTCGCCAGGTAAGGTAAGTATCTGAGCGACTTTGCTCAGGTAAGGTAGGTATTTACAGATACTTTAGCAGGTAGTTGAGCCTCAATTCCGTATACAAAAATGACGCTTTTGATATTTGAAATAGATAATGATATGTAACTAGAATATGTAACTAGAAAAGTGAAACTCGTGACAAATATAATAATAAAATAGACAGCCCCTATTCCTATTCTTCTGCCTCATCATCTGCATCATCACCGTCGCTGTCGGCATCTGGTAAATAACCCCAATTCCGTAAGCAAAGCAGATATCTAATTGTCGATGGCGACAATCTATTCCTTTTCTTAGTAATGATATCGCTACCATTGCTAAATACCCGTTCTGATGGTGCTGATGTCGCAGGAATTGCAAGATGGTCTCGAGCAACTTGAGCAATTATTGGATATTGATATTGCTTTGCAGACCAATATTTGAGAATATCAGTATGCTCACCAGGCCGTGGTTCAAGCATCCATCGTTTCCATTCTGGTTCTTCAAATGATATACCCTCTGATGCAAATAAATCTTCATCAGAATCTGGTTCTTGCACTCTAGTATTTGCATTTCCTAATGCATCTGCAAGAGCTGTTTCACGTTCAATACGCTCTGTATCAAGATGATATTGCCATGTCTTATATGTTCTACAAACATCTTCAAACTGTGCTCTTGCCCGTGTGATTCGTACATGATCTGTACTATCTGGATATATCTTTTTAAACACTGTATGGTTCATCCGTGGATCGCAAATTGTAGCTACAGCTGAGTGCTTACATTGCTGATTTGTTGCAAGAGTATAATACGCGTGAAGCTTTTGATAAGCTACTGTGCATGCAATACCAATTGCTGAGTGCTCGCCAACTTCTTGTTGCATCTTCTTAACTTTATTTATCATTTTAAGATAAAGTGGAATAGCAAAGTTAAGTGACGGATATGTATCACTTTGTAGCCGTCTTGATGGTTTGAGAAATATTAAGAACAGTCGTTCAAGATCTTTAATAACAGCCCAATCTCCTGTAGTTAATGCAATATCTTTCATACTAATATCAAGCTGTTGTGTTATGCATACTGCTGTGATTGGTATTTGGAGTTTTAATGCTGTATCAAGCATACGATGTGTTGAATTCCATCGTACTGGCATATCAAGTGATAGTTGCTGTGGTTTTAAACCTATAGCTTTGACTTGTCGTTGTAAAGCATCCTTCCATGCTCGTCGATTACGAAAGACATAGATATGTCTTCGTAGCTTTGCAAGAGCATTCATGACTTCCACATGACTATCTCTACTAAATGGAATCCGAGCTGCACCTTGCTCACACCGGTATGTCTCTGTCTCTACATCTGGTTCTGCTTTTAAACTCGTAAGAGCGGCTTGAACTGCGAGATTTATGATATGTGCAATACACCGGACATCGCCTTCTTTGACAGTAAATGTCCAAGGTTGTTGAGTTGATGTTTGGGCGTTGCTAGCCAATTTCTCATATTCTGAGAGCATCACAGTATTTGATGATGCGTTGTCTCAGGTGCATGTAAAGATAGCGCCTGTAATAGCTATACTATCTGTTACAGCTGCTAATTGCTGAGCTAAGTATTCACCGCTATGAATAGGCTCTTGAAGATGTATCACATCAAGCAATTTTGATTTCTGCTGCCATTTATCATTAATCCAATGAGCGGTAACAGCAGCATACTCTGTATAGTTCCGTGCAGACCATGCATCTGTCGTTATGGATATCCGGCCTCCATGTATAATATGAGAATGGAGTTCAAGCTGTAGTATGCCTCAGTGATATGAGAATTGGCGTTGTAGTTCTCGGTGCAATGTTCTTGACGAAAGTGATAACACAGATGGACTTAAGAACCGTACTAATTGACGATATGAATAGCTTTCGATAATGCGTAAAGACAGGTTATTAGATACTATAAACGATAGCACTAACTCTCTATATTTGGCTGGATTGTTTGTTGGTCTTGATTCATGGGTCGCTGGTCTCCGAGGCTCAAAAAATGATGATGTGCTGCTAGATTGACTTGAAGGCGCTGTATTCTTGTGTTTAAGAGCATCATAGATTCCTTTATGCTTAAGACTATAGTGTTTCCAAAGATTGCCAGTTGAAGCAGCAGCTTGAGCATGGGTTTGAGCTGCGGGCGAGTATCCGCAATTAGGCTGCATACAGCATACTTTGATAGTTGGCGGGTTGCTCTCAAGTAGTATTCTTGAATATAGTTCCTTCGTGAACAGCAGCGACTGCGTTGGCGGTAGCATTTGGCTAGGCGG